AGCATTTGAAGTCAAGCCAGTGGGCCCCCAGAATGTGCTCTCAACGAACCCTGTATGCTGCCTCTGGCAGTTATTAAACAGAGTGAGAGGAAGGACTGGGCTTAGTATTCTGAGGGCCATCTATGGAAGCATATTCTCCTCACTTCTGTGCTAAGAAGCGTTATTCATTCATTTTGGATACCCTCTCATCTTGAACTAATTTTGCATGTCAGATGTTGGCAAAGATAAATTAGACTTGGATTCTACCCTCAAGAAGCTACAGTCAATGCAGAAGATGAGACAGTTACATGAATAACTATAATACGGGTAGAAAGTGAGAAAGTTGCCTGGGCATGGTGGCTCATGCCTGTTATCCCAACGTTTTGGGAGCCAAGGAGGAAGGATCACTTGAGGCCAGGAGTTCTAGGTCAGCTTGGGCAACATAGTGAGACCCTGTCTCTATAAAAATTAAAAAATTAGCCAGTCATGGTAGCATGCACATATGTGGAAGGCTGAGGTAGAAGAATTATTCAAGCCTAGGAGTTCGAGGCTACAGTGAGCTATGATCATGCCACTGTGCTCCAGCCTGGGCGACAGAGCAAGTCCCTGTCAAAAAAAGAAAGAAAAGCAGCATTTCTTCCATAGGGAAGAATTGGGGAAAACTGTAGAATAAGCCACATTTGAGCTGGTTTGAAGCCAAAGATTATCGCTCAAATCACCATCTAATTTTGTATCACATTCCGTCATGAAAGTGTCTTTGGAAATATTTGCTTTGGTCCTTGGCGTTGTCCCCCCTTTCCCTTTCACAGTTCCCTCCATGTTTTAAAGCAGTGAGCTCCTCTGAGGCTGGGCCTTCACTAAGCCTCACTCAGGCTGCTTTCCCTGGCAGGGAGGGTGGAAATGCAGGAGTGGCAACTCCAGGAGGGGCAGCTTCAGGCTCTGCAGAGTTTAGTTTTGGTGGCCAGGCCATGATCAGTCCCGCCTGCTCTGATGCTCTGCATCTCATGGGATATGCGATATAGATATTTTGGGCCTCAAATATGAGGCCCAAGAAACTGAAGGTTTTGTATTTAATTAATATCTTAAAATTGTGGCAGTTGCATTTTAGCCTTTGGGACAGCCAGAAATGTCTTCTTTATAGAAAATGATTCTTGACAGCATATTTTTTTCCAGAATTACCAACAAACAAGGAAAAAAATCCCCAACTTTGCAATAGAATTAATTGGGACTTAATGAGGCAAGTAGTCAAGAGATGGTGTTATGAGTATGCAACACAAAGTGACCTGTTTTAAGGCTAGAAGCTGCCACCTGTCGAAGTGGTTTAAATCAGGATTTTGGCAGAAGCACATTATTGTGACAGTTAAAAAATGTGAGTGAAATTCAGTCTCCTCTACATACCCTATTTAGGAATGTAGTCATTAAGCCCCTACACTGTGACTCAGCTCAGAAGACACAAGAAGGAATGATCTAACTCTCTAAGAGATATGGAAGTTTTCTTCCAGTTTGTTAACCCACAGCAAATTGGCTGATACATGGAGAGGAGCCAAACTTGATCATGTTTGCATTTTATCTCCCTCTTTACTGTAGAAGATTTTGACATGAAAGAAACTTAGTGTTGCATTTTCCAAGAAAAGAAAATCAGCAGCATTGATATAAGTATGGTTCTGCAGTAAGTGTGTATTGTAATCTTATCTGTAGGGGTGAAATGGAATTTCATGACTGCTTATGTTGAAACATGCTTGCAGACTTAAGTACTTAGTATGACTTATATGTGCTTAAGGGAAAACATGAATTGTAAGAGAGGAAAAGTTCTGACTTTAGTTCTCCAATCTGCCCCTAATGATTTAGCATAAAGCCTTGGACCAATTTTTGTGCCTCAGATTTTCCATGGATGAAAATGGTACCACGAATGTATCATAGACCTTGTAATCATTTTTAAGTTATTTTTAAATTTAAAACCTCTGAGAACATTTGGCTTTAAAGAATATTAGAGCTTTTAAAAAGGCATAAGGCAGTTGGAGCATTCCAAGACATTGACAGATGCTACTGAAGAGGATTTGGAGACACAAAGAGCCTTAATCTCCCTTTAAAGCTTGTTTCATCTTTCAATAAATTATTCTTATAGTTTAAATATTTTTTCTTGCTTTAATTTTTCTCTGGTTCCTGTGACTCTGTCCATTCTCTCTAACAATGTTAATGTCTCTAACAAGGGAAGACAATGTCACCTTACTCCTTGCAACATAAAAATTCTTGTATTATTAAGAATTCTTAATTTTCTTGAAGACACAAAGGATCAGTGAGCCAACTAGTATTTATTGAGCACTTACTGTGTTCTAATATGATGTTTGGGAAAGGGGTATGACAGCTGATGGATTTCCAGGCAGTACAAAAGGCTTATTGCATTCTTATTGAAAAACTTACTGAATCTCCTGATTCCAGTCATTCAAAGGTAGATTCCTTTCTGTACCTCCTTGGGTGTGCCTCACTATGCTTTATTATCTCCAGTGAGAGGTCCCAAGCTATCTCCTGACAAGCTGTTCCTTCAGTTTTTGCCATCACATAGTTGCAAGACAAGACAGATTTTCATGTAATACAGGAATGAGTCAAATACTTTAAGTGCTGAATCAACTGAAAAAGACAAGTTCCGCATGAGGTCAAAGAATGAATCACTATTGGCTGTTGTGGTCAGGAAAAGATGACCTAGGGTTAAATAACCAATATCTTTATTATTATTGGTATCATTTGCAAATCCTAATAATAGTTAACATTTATCTTATTCTTCTTAATGACTTAAAAATTTTTAACTGACAAATAAAAATGGTATATATTTATGAAGTATAATGTGATGTTTTCATATATGTATACACTGTGGAAAGATTAAATCAAGCTAATTAACATTCATCACCTTACATACTTATATTTTTTATGGTGAGAACATTTAAAATCAATTAGTAAATTTCAAGTGTATAATACATTGTTATTAACTATAGTCATCATATACAATAAGTCTCTTAAACTTTCTCCTTCTAACTGAAAAAAAAATTGAATGACACATATTTGTGTCATCCTTGTTCAGGGCCCACGCTAATCTCTGTATTTTTCCAATTTTAGTATTTGTGTTGCCAAAGTAAGTACTAGTTAACTTTCACGTGGTGCTGTGTGCTGAGCACTAGCCAATGTGCGTACTGCCTCTCAACTGACACTGTATATAAAATCTTACAGATAGCTAGAGAATCTATTTGTGCTAAGAGCCACATCTGTGTGTGTGTGTGTGTGTGTGTGTGTGTGTGTGTGTGTGTGTGTGTGTAATTTTATAATCTACATAACCACTCTTTGATATGGGTATTATTATCACCATTTTGCCCAAGGAGACACTGGGGCTCTAAGAAGTTCAGTAACCCACAGTAGCAGAGCCAGGCTTCTCACCCCACTCTGTGTGATGCCACAGTCCTAGCTTTGTCTGTTAGGCTACACTGCCCTATTCTATTAACTTGCTAAAGAAAACAGCTAGTTAACTAGTTCTATCCAAAGGGCTAGTTCTTTCCTTAGGGCTAAAACAAGAGAAAATTGGCATAAGCAGTGGGAGAGGCAGGCCCACTGGTGGTTTTACCTCTACAGTCATTCTGAGGCCCATGCACTGGCCCTTCTCTCAGTCCTGAGAGGAAAATGACATGTAGTCCAAGGGACATCCGTTTTCATACATAAATAAGGAGTACCTTTAGTAACCCCCTAGGGTTACCAAAATCTAGTACTTACAACTAAAATTAATGGTAAACTCATTTACTGAGGTCTCTAACTTTGTGTTCTAAGAAGCGCTGCTTCATAATGAGGCAGAATCCTTAAGTGTGATTGAGCACATGTAGATCATTATAATTCTCACATTTTAGGGGAGGAAATGTCATCCCTCCCTCCCTCCCTCCACTTTTTCCTTCCTTCCTTCCTTCCTGTCTGTCATGGTTTTTAATTTCTACTCTTCTTGCTTTTTATTTTTATAATTACAGTTAGGTTTACTTTTGTGGATCATCTTGTTCTTGTATAACTGCTGAGTTGTAAACTTTGATGTGTTATTTTCTCATGGATTCTTATCACTGAGTTTTTTTAACTGAAAAGTAGGAACAAAAATTCAGAAGTACTGATATAAAGGGAATGATTTCCAGTGATTTCCAGGCCTTTTTCTAGCCCTAGATATTTTAGGTGAACATTTCAGCATTTCAAAACAATGCTAGAGAGTACATATTATTGTCCTTGAGTTAAAAAAGAGGAGCCAGGCGCGGTGGCTCATGCCTGCAATCCTAGCACTTTGGGAAGCCGAGGCGGGTGGATCACTTGAGATCAGGAGTTTGAGACCAGATTGGCCAACATGGCGAAAGCCCATCTCTACTAAAAATACGCACACACACAAAAATTAGCTGGGCATGGTGGTGCATGACTGTAGTCCCAGTAGGCACAAGAAGCACAAGAATCACTTGAACCTGGCAGGCAGAGGTTACAGTGAGCCGAGATCCCGTCATTGCACTCCAACAACAACAAAAACAAAAACAAGACTGAGGCTTAGAAAGTTAGTAACTTGCTAACATTTCAGAAGTAATAAGTGGTAGAAATGAAATTAAAACTCAGATCTGTCTGATTCCAAAGAATCCATTCTTCCCATTACCTTCCACTGTCAATCCTGGAGTGTCTGCTATCTAATCTTACCCTCAGATTTCTTTTTTTCCACTTATGTGGCTAAACGTAATTAATAATTACTGACCATATAAGTGAAATTTCATTAGACCTAACTTCAAGAAAACTATATTTTATTAGCAGGCAACTGAATATTACTAAGCTGTTAAACTGCTTTGTGGATATCTTTTGCTATAAAGAGATTTCGGATGTAATGTGTGTTTTTAAAAAATTTTTTGGCATCAAGATGTAACATCTGTATTTCAGGGACTGAAAGGTACATTTAATAAGCTGCTATAAGTAAGATAGCTTGAGATGACTAAAGAAAAGAAAAAATTTGACCTTGGAATTTTTTGCAGGCATTCTGCAAAAGCTCACTGATTTTGGAACGTTTGGATGTCTCTTATTGCTCCCAGCTGTCAGATATGATTATCAAAGCATTGGCCATTTACTGCATTAACCTCACATCTCTCAGCATTGCTGGCTGTCCAAAGGTATGTGCAGGAGTCAGGGCTCAGACACGTCAAATTTAAGCACAGCCAAGGGACAAGGCAGGACAGCTATCAGGGCTGGACTCAGAATGTGTTTTCTCTGCCATGGTTGAGGTATTCATTGGATTTTTTTTTTTTTCTATCCTCCGATTGGAAGTAGCTTATGATTACATTGGTGTCAAAGTAGAATTTTCCAAAAGTCAAAAACATAATTCTCATACAAATTTAAACATGTTTCATATATTTATTTAATTCATTAATGAGAGAACCAACAAAATGACAAAGCCAGTGTCAAGAGCATTTGAATGAACTTAGTATTTGTAGGAACTGATGAAAGAATGTTGGAGTAAGAGTGTTAGGTTAGGTCTAAAACTGTCCTATAAGTCATTAAATCCATAACCTTGGGGTTATAGTTTCTACCAGATACAAATAATTTGCATCTTTTCTGGACAAAAATGTAACAATTAACATATAACTTCATGGAGTTGGGGCCTTAGTCAACAGTAAACAGTATGTCAAACAAAGGCATGGTTTCCTATAGAATTTTCCAGGTAGGCCTGTTAAACGGTGTTCCAGTTTGACACCCCAAGGACATACCACCATCTTTTGTCTTATTTTCAAGTGTTTTATAATTTTTCTTGACCTCTGTATATAAATGAAATAAATACTATTGTCAAAAATTTGGACTACATATAAAAGCTTAAAGGATGTTAAACAAATATGCATTAAATGCATCATTCTATATCAAAGATTTAGAAGGAGATGGAGGTAGGAGGAATCAATTTATTTTATTTTATTGCACTTTAGGTTCTGGGGTACATATGAAGAACATGCGGGATTGTTGCATAGGTACATACATGGCAATGTGGTTTGCTGCCTCCATCCCCATCACCTATATCTCGCATTTCTCCCCATGTTACTCCTCCCAACTCCCTACCCCACACTGTCCCTACCTTAGTCCCTTCCAACAGACCCCAGTGTGTGATGCTCCCCTCCCTGTGTCCATGTGTTCTCATTGTTCAACACCCACCTATGAGTAAGGACATGTGTTGTTTGTTTTTCTGTTCTTGTGTCAGCTTGCTGAGAAGGATAGTTTCCAGGTTCATCCATGTCCCTACAAAGGACATGAACTCATTTTTTTTTATGGCTACATAGTATTCTATGGTGTATATGGGCCACATTTTCCTTGTCCAGTCTATCATTGATGGGCATTTGGGTTGGTTCCAGGTCTTTGCTATTGTAAACAGTGCCGCAATGAACATACATGTGCATGTGTCTTTATAATAGAACAATTTATAATCCTTTGGATATATATCCAGTAATGGGATTGCTGGGTCAAATGAAATTTCTATTTCTAGGACCCTGAGGAATTGCCACACTGTCTTTCACAATGTTTGAACTAATTTACACTCCCACCAACAGTGTAAAAGTGTTCCTGTTTCTCCACATCCTCTCCAGCATCTGTTATCTCCAGATTTTTTAATGGTAGCCATTCTAAATGGTGTGAGATGGTATCTCAATGTAGTTTTGATTTGCATTTCTCTAATGACCAGTGATGATGAGCATTTTTTCATGTTTGTTGCCCTCATATATGTCTTCTTTTGTAAAGTGTCTGTTCATATTCTTGACGCACTTTTGAATGGGTTTGTTTGCTTCTTGTAAATCAGTTTTAGTTCTTTGTAGATTATGGATATAAGTCCTTAGATAGGCAAATTGCAAATACTTTTTTCCCATTTTGTTGGTTGCTGGTTCACTCTATTGATTGTTTCTTTTGCTGTGCAGAAGCTCTCAAGTTTAATTAGATCTCATTTGTCTATTTTGGCTTTTGTTGCCATTGCTTTTTGTGTTTTAGTCATGAAGTCCTTGCCTATGCCTATGTCCTGAATGGTTTTTGCCTAGGTTTTCTTCTAGGGTTCTTATGGTGTTAGGTCTCATGTTTAAGTATTTAATCTATCTGGAGTTAATTTTAGTGAATGGTGTCAGGAAGGGGTACAGTTTCTGCTTTCTGCACATGGCTAGCCAGTTTTCCCAACACTATTTATTAAACAGGGAATCCTTTCCCCATTGCTTTTGTCAGTTTTGTCAAAGATCAGATGGTTGTAGCTATGTGGTATTGCCTCCAAGGCCTCTGTTTTGTTCCTTTGGTCTATATTTCTGTTTTGGTATCAGTACCATGCTGTTTTGACTACTGTAGCCTTTTAGTATAGTTTGAAGTCAGGTAGCATGATGCCTCCAGCTTTGTTCCTTTGCTTAGAATTGACTTGCCTATGCGGGCTCTCTTTTGGTTCCACATGAAGTTTCAGGTGGTTTTTTTCCAGTTCTGTGAAGAAGGTCATAGGTAGCTTGATGGTGATAGTGTTGAATCTATAAATGTCTTTGGGCAGTATGGCCATTTTCACAATATTGATTCTTCCTAAACATGAGAATGGAATGTTTTTTCATCTGTTTGTGTCCTCTCTTATTTCCTTGAGTAGTGGTTTGTAGTTCTCCTTGAAGAGGTCCTTTAGGTTCCTTGTTAGTTGTATTCCTAGGTATTTTTGTAGCAATTGTGAATGGTAGTTTGTTCTTGATTTGGCTCTCTTTAAGTCTGTTATTGGTGTATAGGAATGCTTGTGATTTTTGCACGTTGATTTTGTATACTGATACTTTGCTGAAGTTGCTTATCAGTTTCAGGAGATTTTGGGCTGAGAAAATGGGGTCTTCTAAATATAGAATCATGTCACCTGCAAATAGAGACAATTTGATTTCCTCCTTTCCTAATTGAATACCCTTTATTTCTTTTTCTTGCCTGATTGCTCTGGCTAGAACTTCCAATACTATATTGAATAGGAGTGGTGAGAGGACGCATCCTTGTCTAGTGCCAGATTTCAAAGGGAATGCTTCCAGTTTTTGCCCATTCAGTATGATATTGGCTGTGGGTTTGTCATAATAGCTTTTATTATTTTGAGATACATTCTGTCGATACCTAGTTTATTGAGAGTGTTTAGCATAAAGGGCTGTTGAATTTTGTTGAAGGCCTTCTCTGCATCTAGTGAGATGATCGTGTGGTTTTTGTCTTTGGTTCTGTTTATGTGGTGAATTACTTTTATAGACTTGCGTATGTTGAACCAGCCTTGCATCCCTGGGATGAAGCCTACTTGATTGTGATGGATAAGGTTTTTGATGTGCTGTTGCAATCAGTTTGCCAGTATTTTATTGAAGATTTTTGCGTCTATGTTCATCATGGATATTGGCCTGAAGTTTTCTTTTCTTGTTGAGTCTCTGCCTAGTTTTGATATCAGGATGATGTTGGTCTCATAAAATGATTTGGGAAGGATTCCCTCTTTCTGGATTGTTTGGAATAGTTTCAGAAGGAATGGTACCAGCTCCTTTTGTATGTCTGGTAGAATTCGGCTGTGACCCATCTGGACCTGGACTTTTTTTGGTTGGTAGGCTATTAATTGCTGCCTCAACTTCAGCCCTTGTTATTGGTCTATTCAGGGCTTTGACTTCTTCCTGGTTTAGGCTTGGGAGGGTGCAGGTGTCCAGGAATTTATTAATTTCTTCCAGGTTTACTGGTTTATGTGCATAGAGTTGTTTGTAGTAATCTCTGATGGTAATTTGTATTTCTGTGGAATCAGTGGTGTTATCCCCTTTATTGATTTTTATTGCATCTATTTGATTCTTCTCTCTTTTCTTTTTTATTAATCTGGTTAGTGGTCTATTTTATTGATATTTTCAAAAAAAACCAGCTCCTGCATTTATTAATTTTTTGAAGGGTTTTTTGTGTCTCTATCTCCTTCAGTTTTGCTCTGATTTTAGTTACTTCTTGTCTTCTGCTAGCTTTTGAGTTTTTTTGATCTTGCTCCTCTAGCTCTTTCAATTTTGATGATACGGTGTCAATTTCAGATCTTTTGTTGCTTCTCAGGTGGGTCTTAATTGCCATAAATTTTCCGCTAGATACTGCTTTAAAAGTGTCCCGGAGATTCTGGTATGTTGTGTCTTTGTTCTTGTTGGTTTCTAAGAACATCTTTATTTCTGTCTTCATTTCATTGTTTATCCAGTCAGTATTCAAGAGCCAGTTGTTCAGTTTCCATTAAGTTGTGCGGTTCTGAGTTAGTTTCTTAATCCTGAGTTCTAATTTTATTGCACTGTGGTCTGAGGGACTGTTTGTTATGATTTCCATTCTTTTTCATTTGCTGAGGAGTGATTTATTTCCAATTATGTGGTCAATTTTAGAGTAGGTGTGATGTGGTGCTGAGAAGAATGTATATTCTGTGGATTTGGGGTGGAGTATTCTGTAAATGTCTATTAGGTTTGCTTGGTTCAGATCTGAGTTCAAGTCCTGGATATCCTTGTTAATTTTCTGTCTCGTTGATCTGTCTAATATTGACAGTGGAGTGTTAAAGTCTCCCAATAAGTCTAAGTCTCAGCTGGGCGCGGTGGCTCAAGCCTGTAATCCCAGCACTTTGGGAGGCCGAGGCGGGTGGATCACGAGGTCAAGAGTTCGAGACCATCCTGGTCAACATGGTGAAACCCCGTCTCTACTAAAAATACAAAAAATTAGCTGGGCATGGTGGCGCGTGCCTGTAGTCCCAGCTCCTCAGGAGGCTGAGGCAGGAGAATTGTCTGAACCCAGGAGGCGGAGGTTGCAGTGAGCCGATCGCACCATTGCACTCCAGCCTGGGAAACAAGAGCGAAACTCCGTCTCCAAAAAAAAAAAAAGAAAAAAAAAAAAGTCTAAGTCTCTTTGTAGGTTGTTAAGAACTTGCTTTATGTATCTGGGTGCTCCTGTATTGGCTGCGTATATATCTAGGATAGTTAGCTCTTCTTGTTGCATTGATCCTTTTACCATTATGTAATGCCCTTGTCTCTTTTGATCTTTGTTGTTTTAAAGTCTATTTTATCAGAGACTAGGATTGTAATGCCTGGCTTTTTTTTTGCTCTCCTTTTGCTTGTTAGATCTTCCTTCATCCCTTTATTTTCAGCCTGTGTGTATCCCTGCATGTGAGGTGGGTTTCCTG